GTGTTGATGAGATCCCCTCTCAGCCTTCTCTTCTCCAGGCTGAACAAGCCCAGCTCCCTCAGCCTTTCCTCCTAGGGGAGATGCTCCAGTCCCCCCATCATCCTTGTTGCCCTCCTCTGGACTCTCTCCAGGAGAGTTCCTCATCTTTCTTGAGCTGGGGATCCCAGAACTGGACCCAGTGCTCCAGGTGGGGTCTCCCCAGGGCAGAGCAGAGGGGGAGGAGAACCTCCCTCGCCCTGCTGGCCACGCTCCTCTTGATGCACCCCAGGATGCCATTGGCCTTCTTGGCACCAAGGGCACCCTGCTGGTTCATGGTCAGCTTGTCGTCCCCCAGGACCCCCAGGTCCCTCTCGGCAGAGCTGCTTTCCAGCAGATCAGCCCCAGTCTGTACTGGTGCCTGGGGTTCAACTTCATGGGGTCTCATAAAGCTGAATTTGGGAAGTTTCCTCCAACCACCCTCCTCACCCCCATTGTCCAAATCAACCCAGCACCGGTGACCATGAAGTATTTCCTCTCCTTTCAATAGCAGCCACACACAAGATGATTTCAACAGCTGGATCAAAGGAGCAGAGCCAGGTTACAAGCGGCATCCGAGACGATAGTTCCGCTACTTGGATATCTGTTGCTAAAAATAAGTAGCTGTGGGAAAAGTACTTAGCTCCTTGCAAGAAAGATAACGTCCGTGGTTCTTTATTTCACTGCTTCTTTGCTTCTCTGGTGTTATCCAGAGGAAAAGCCTAGTAAATCCTTCACTAAATATACATACACATATTTTAACTAAAATAAAATTCCTCCCTAAGCCAAAAGCATTTGCGGATGACACACGTGCTGCACTGGGATCCCTAAGCCAGCTGCGGGGCCCGTGACCTTCCCCTCTCCCACCCTTTTCTTGTTTTTTACCAGCACGGCTCTCCTTATCACAGACGGATCCCCAAAGCAGCTTCGCTTTCGCCGAGACCTCGCTATTTTTAAGACACAAGCTCCGATTTACAAGGTGCTTACAGCCGCATGGCAGGAGGAGCCTGCTGGAAGAACGGACATTAGGTGGCGATTTTTAACGGGGTTCAAAGCGAGGTGAACTTCAGTGCACGCCGCGCCCGAGCAAAACTCGCGCTTAACTCCAAACCGGGCAAAGATGCGAATGCATCAGAGAACCGGTTTCAAGGGCAAGCTGCAGACAAGCATTCCATAAATACAGGCGACTACAGTTAATTATCAACTTGCTCGGCAGAAGGCTGTGGCTATGGAAATACGGCTTCTTGTGTGTTCAGGAGAGGGCTTGCAAGAGAATTCAAGTTTTCAGATCGGCAGGGACAACGGCTCCCCTTAGGCCGGCCGGCGGCCATCAACAGAGCTATCTCGCGACTTCGTATCTAGGACAAGGGCTCACTTTCTGCTCCAAACACCGGTTTGGACTGAACCCTCCATTACGCACAGCTCCCCAAAAGCTTCAGCCCAAACTATAACACAATAATTTTATAATCGAGGTGGTGCCGGTGCCCGCAGCTTTTCACGGGAAGCGCCACGCCGCTGCGCTCCTTTTTTACATGTGGAAAAGGGCCAAGTGCTGTTGGAACTCAGCCCCCTAAGGTCTCCATCCTAAAAACCTCCCTAGTTTTGCATATCTCACCGCTGGTCAAACAGCTCCAGCTGGCTCTGGCAAGCACTCGCGGGACCTCGGTGTGCGCAAACACGGGGTCACCTCCAGCCAGGTAGCGTTGAACAGATTGAGGAGACCTCGCCCTCCCATTTTGCTTCAAAACGTACACGTGGGTAACAGTCAGGAAGAGTGAGACATAGCTGTGCTAAGCTAAAGCTTAAACTGAGCGCAAGTTTTTCTTCAGCTAAAAAAAAAACCAAACCAAAACAAAAAGTCTTCCCGAGAAACACACGGCGGCGATCAACAGAGCTATCTCGCGACTTCGTATCTAGGACAAGGGCTCACTTTCTGCTCCAAACACCGGTTTGGACTGAACCCTCCATTACGCACAGCTCCCCAAAAGCTTCAGCCCAAACTATAACACAATAATTTTATAATCGAGGTGGTGCCGGTGCCCGCAGCTTTTCACGGGAAGCGCCACGCCGCTGCGCTCCTTTTTTACATGTGGAAAAGGGCCAAGTGCTGTTGGAACTCAGCCCCCTAAGGTCTCCATCCTAAAAACCTCCCTAGTTTTGCATATCTCACCGCTGGTCAAACAGCTCCAGCTGGCTCTGGCAAGCACTCGCGGGACCTCGGTGTGCGCAAACACGGGGTCACCTCCAGCCAGGTAGCGTTGAACAGATTGAGGAGACCTCGCCCTCCCATTTTGCTTCAAAACGTACACGTGGGTAACAGTCAGGAAGAGTGAGACATAGCTGTGCTAAGCTAAAGCTTAAACTGAGCGCAAGTTTTTCTTCAGCTAAAAAAAAAACCAAACCAAAACAAAAAGTCTTCCCGAGAAACACAAACAGAACGTTTTAATCTGATTTTCAGTCATCAGGCAAGGAGGGGAAAAAAAAAAAAAAAAAAAAAAAAACAAAAACCAAAACCATAGCAGATAATCAGGGCTTTAAAACACAACGCTGCAAGGGTAAAACCTCAGCGCTGTCATTAGCATCAGCACAACGAGCCTTGGGGCTACGGACCAGCGCGGGCCACAGACCAGCTCGACGCTCACACGTGAAAAACAGAAGCCAGGCGAAGAATCCCGTTTTTCAACCCTTTAACCCCACAAACACCTTCCTTTAGGAGAAGTCTGCAATACACGGTATGGCGGATTTAGGAAAAGGCCGTCACTGCTTTTCTCCCCGCTGCAAGATCTGGAACTGTTTGCTACTTTAAACAAAACAAAAACAAAAAACAAAAAACAAAAAAAACCCACCAATTTTCAACTTGAAAAGACCCTGCGTCACTACGTGACCTTTCGCAAGTCTCCCTTAAAAAACTTGGTGGGGTTTTCCTGTTCATTGAACGTGGCAGTGAAAACACAAGCTAAGCGCCGGTCGTACAAGCGACCAGCTTCAGAAAGACTTTTTTTTTCTTTAAAAAAAGAAAAAAACAGGCTGCCCAGGGGGGCTGTGGAGTCTCCTTCTCTGGAGATCTTCAACCCCCGCCTGGACGCTGTCCTGTGCCCCCTGCTCTGGGTGAGCCTGCTTGAGCAGGGGGGTGGCACTGGGTGAGCTCCCGGGGGCCCTGCCAGCCCCGGCCACGCTGGGATTCTGTGAAAAAAAATGTCTAAGCTGGCAGAAAAGGTGCACAGCCCCATTAAAGACTACAGTACCTCCCTGTGCGCTGCCTCTCCTCCAGCGGAGCGGAAAGCTTACCTTCGAGGCTGCTCCCACCACCTTTTCACTCGACTCTCCAATGGCTTCTAGATAACAGGATGCTGTGGGGTTTATTTTTCGGATTCGCTTTCCTTGGTTTGAGATTTTTGGGGGTATAAAACCAGGAGAGGTGATCTTTCGATTTGCAGGACTCACAGAAACTGTAACGCTGCTCGTACAAAACAAAAAAAAAAATTTAAGAAAAAAAAAACCCACACCAACCTGGCTGAGCCTGCAAGGATCAGACTTATCCCGAGGAAATAAAAACGGTCTCGGAGTAATAACCTGACGCCCCGGTTGGTCAGAAGCACCAAGGGAAGCCTGAGCGGGTCAGACTAAAAGATGGGGTTGAGGTGTTTCGGCTACGGGCTGGCAATTCGAAGGCAAGGAGCCACGACAGAGCAGGCTGGGCTCTGGGCTCGTAAGCTTAGCAAGCGACTGCTGCAAGATATTTTGATTTGATTTTCTTGAGGGGGGGGAATAAAAAAAAAAAAAAAAATATGAGAGGAAAGCTTGCAAGCTAAGATTAGAGTCACACAATTCAAAACTATATTTTTTGCCAGAACAGGAAGGAACTTTCAATACGCCAACAAGTCAAGAGCCCGCAGTTTGACCGCTTGCTGCTGAAGGACAATTTTATTGAAATTGAGGAGGGAAACGGCCTCTCCGACAGCGTACCCGATCCTCGGCATCGCCACCTCTGCCGACGCCGAGGCTGGGAATCCAGCATCAGGCTTGCATGTTATTTGAAGCATATTTGCATATGTAAGTGGCGACTGGCATTTCTCAAACGTAGATTATGCCCGGGCCTCAAACACACACACTTTTTATTGAGTAAAAACCCCATTTGCTGTCGACGAGGCGGCACAAGAGGCCTGGTAAGCACAGCAGAAGGCACGAGATCGATCATCTGCTGAGTTTTGGAGTGTCTGGGTGTTACCTCACTTGTTTCCTTGCTGATTGGGGGGGGAAAAAAAAAAAAAACAAACCAAAACGAGCATCACCTTCACGCAAAAATGGAGCACACGGTGCAATTTGCAGAGAAGTCCTGAACGGATGGAGGCTCCTTGTCGGATCTTAAGTACCTGTTCCCTAAAGGGACGGGAACGCAGCAGAAAGCGCGGCACCTGCAAACGCCAGCAGTGGCTTTTCACCGCAGCGGGCGAGGATCGGCAGGTCCCCTCTTCTTCCTCCTCCTCTTCTTCTTCTTCTTCCCCACACCCTCTGCCAGGGTTCGGGCTGTCGCAAGCACAGCGAAAGCCTTGGGAAAGCCCTGACTAGTTAGACGGCAGTGTTTGCAGGTGAGATCACCCACAAGGAAAAAAAAAAATCCAGCGGCGCCTGGCAGAAGGGCTGTTAAAATCATGCCTAACCGAGCAATGAGACGAGAGGTGAAATTCAGAGCTTGGTATAAAGCAATGCACGTGGAGGAGGGGGGGGGGGGGAATAATTCTGGCTCCGCGTGCACAGGGAATAGGCTCCCAGTGAGCTCTGCTGCTGGGGAAAGGTCTCAGTTGAGACTTATAGGACGGGAAAAAGTAGATGAGCTTTGACGGTTGAAGACAGGCTCGTGCGGCCAAAGTGAGAATAGAGGAAAAAAAAACCAAACAAACAAACAAAAAACAAAAACCACACCAAAACACAACAGGAAATCATGTGCCAGCGCCGCAAGCCCACGAGTGCCCCACATCCTGAGCCAGGCACGCAGCCCCAGCTTCCCCCTCGGCAAAAGAGCACTCGGGGAGGTACCAGGGAAAGTCACCAAGACGATTCAGAGAGGTTTATATTCAAAGACAGGCTTTGCAGACCACAGCTTGAATCTGGGAGGGAGGCCGAGTCGTAAAGACAAACACGGAACCGATTATTTTGCGTTTCTCACGAGGGCTGCGCAAGAGAGCACCCAAGGCAATGTCCATTTCGTGGGTTTCAAACCAAAGGAGGACGTTTTGCCATTAAACGGTGGAGCTCTGCCTCAGGAGGCGACACAAGCCAAAAGTAAAAAAGGGATTTAGAAGGGCCTGGACAAACGACCAGGAGCCATCGTGGACCACCGGGAGTTACGCTCGAAGGCGCAGTACACTGGAAAAGAAGTAAAAGCAGCTTTAGCCCTCGCAAGGACCAAGTCAGAAAATCTCACCCAAAATTTAGGGGAAAAAAAAAAAAAGGGCAGCAATAAAGCAGATGAGAACAGCCCCCCACGTGCTACAGCCTCCACAACCGCTCCATCTCGCTCCCACTAAATTCGCCAGGCAGGACAGAAAAGAGAGGAAAGAGTTTTTCTTCTGGAAAGAGCTTTTCTTTTCAACAGCTTTCCTTCTTGGTACGGCTGGGCAGGGGGGCTGTATCCCCCCCTTCCCCTTTCAGAAAGCTCAGCTCTGCGATCAAAACCAACGTCTGAAGGCAAGAGACACAGCGGAACACGCTTGGCCTGCCCGCCGCCGCCACAGCTCCCGTGAATAACCCCAAGAGAAGGTCCCTCGATGGAAGGGCAGGACTTCTTCCCACGTTACTGGACCGTACTAACCTGGATCAACAAACCCAGGATGACGTGGCAGGAGGGGAGCAGAGCTAGCACCGCCTCACCAGCCCAAAAGAGGAGAATTAAGCAATGCCGGGACGCGCCAAGACACGCTGGAGCGCAGCCGCCTTCCTCAGTAGGTGCTGCCGAGGTACTAATTGCCAAGTTTCTCAAGAGCAATCCATCCTTCTTTCACCCTCAATTAAAAAAATAAATAAATAAACCTGTTTTAATACTCTGAGCTCAGCGTTTGCGGAGGCAACAAGGACAGCCAGGTAAAAGAACCGGAGGTTTTTTGGGTGAGGATTCAATCCATCACAAAGCTTTTCAGCCAAACTCCTTAAGACCCGCTCCCAGATATTTTGCTGCCGGCAGCACCTTCTGCGACAGAAGAATTATGAGAACCACCACGAATTCCACCGAGGCTGAGCGAGGAGCCTGCCGCACCATCCACAGAAGAAAAATCCCAATTTATGGATCTGCTTGGCCCTGTCTTTGGTCAGGCAACACCACCGGTTCCTCAGTATCCTCAAACCTGCGCTAAAAGCAATCGGATCTCAACACCTCTACAGAAGAGAAGTTTAAGGCCCAGAAAGCACCAGAGAAATGTAACGTTATTGATTAACCCCGGGGTGAATCTCTGTTTTCATCCTCAATACCAAACCCAGGTTGCGCCCTGGATTTCAGACACGATGCAAAACACAGTGAACTGGGGAGAGAACGTGGGAAAATCAAGAGGTTTAATCACACGAGGCGGCGGGCGGGGGGTTTAGCAAAGACCAGGGGCAGCACAGCAAAGGGAAAACAGAAAAGGGCCACGGGGTCTTACAGAGCCAGCACAGACCCCACGCATGGGACCGAAGAGACCCAGTCCCCATCACTGGGGCATCGCCCAAATCCCAAGCCCCCTCCTCCAGCGCTTGCACCCCTGCCTTTTCTTGCACCCCTCTTACCCCAGGTCCCCTGCCCCGCAGCGGGGGACCCCCTCCTCCCTGCTG